TGTGTGTGTGTGGTGAGTTGACCCACTAGTCATTAGTGTTGTTTATGTGTGTGTGTGTGTGTGTGTGTGTGTTTTGTTTGTGTGTGTGTGTGTGTGGTGAGTTAACCCAATAGCCATGAGTGTTGTTTGCGTGTGTGTGTTTTGTGTGTGTGTGTGTGCTGAGTTAACCGAATAGCCACGAGTGTTGTTTGTGTGTGTGTGTTTTGTTTGTGTGTGTGTGTGTGTAGTGAGTTAACCCAATAGCCATGAGTGTTGTTTGTGTGTGTGTGTTTTGTTTGTGTGTGTGTGTTTTGTTTGTGTATGTGTGTGTGTGTGCTGAGTTAACCGAATAGCCATGAGTGTTGTTTGTGTGTATGTGTGTATATGTGTGTGTGTGTATGTGTGTGTGTGTGTGTGTGGAGATTTCAGGTGCCGAAAACCTTTTTTTTTTTAAAAATACGGTGAAGCCACAGAGAATGTACCGTTTAATTATAACAATTACATCGAAATTGCGCTTATGTCTGTATGTGTGATTATAAATAGAAAAATAGATATTGCAGTTAGCAATACGTATGTAATGCATACAATCAAGTTTTAAGGATGTTAAACGTTTTTAAAATGTTTCCCAAGAAATCTAATGCTTTACTGCTGTAAAATATTTTAAGTTTTTGCCAAGAAATCTAATGTTTTACCGAAGTAAAAAGTTTTTTAAAATGTTTCCCGTAAATCGCATAAAGAGTTAATTTAGATATGTGCTTGATAGTACCGAGAAATGATAGTGTATAGTACGCAACACTCTCAGCCATATTAACACAGGTCGTCAGAATGTACAAATTGAGATCGTTATACTGTATGAGTGTATGCTCGTCAAGATCTGCATGTATGTTTGTTTTTAGTGTTTGTCTATACTATAATGAAAGATAATCAGAATAATGGTGAGAGTGATATTTCGGTAACAAAATGACTTGGCTAAATCACCTTTCTTTGAGTGGTTAAGTTGAGCCTTAGATACCGGGGTCGTTTGCTAGACATATATTACCATTTTAAGGACATTAGTTACCTAAACAACAATTGTTCAATATTTTTCAATACCGTGAAAAATTTACACGTTTTAGAAAGGCGATTGTTGGATGGAAAATGTACCTTTACACCGTAAGAACTCAGGTTGAGAAAAACACCGCCGTTCTATATTTAGCGGGCCAGATTTCTACAAGCCAAGAGGCACATTGGCCATATAAGTAGCGTGCACTCACAACGTGTTGCCGAAAGAGTTAGAGAGCCGGCAAGCCGTGTGTACGTGCGCCGTATAAATGTAATGCTTGGAGTGAGTGAGAGAGGGAGAGATAGGTAGCTGGCTGAGAGAGAAAGTTTGGTGTAACACCACCATTTTTTTTCTCTATTCGCCACCCTGATTTAGATCAACATAACAGCCACTGGCAAAACCTCATAAAAATAGTTTAAAAAGTTTCCACATAAAATGTGTTTAATAAACTTTCTTGTCTCAACATAACTAGCCGGGGTTGTATGGGCTTATGTTTGTACCACATAGTTCCGTGCACTTTAGGAAAACGCTAAGTAATGCCATATTTCTATGGCGCAGATAAGGTGCGATAGTGGGCGTTAGGTGGAAGGTGAAGGGCGTTACGTGAAAGATAAACTGGAGGGTGGAGGGCGTAAGGTGGAGGGCGTAAGGTGGAGGGCGTAAGGTGGAGGGCTAAGGTGGAGGGCGTAAGGTGGAGGGCTAAGGTGGAGGGCGTAAGGTGGAGGGCTTAGGTGGAGGGCTAAGGTGGAGGGCTAAGGTAGAGGGCTGAGGTGGAGGGCTAAGGTGGAGGGCGTAAGGTGGAGGGCGTAAGGTGGAGGGTGTAAGGTGGAGGGCTAAGGTGGAGGGTGTAAGGTGGAGGGCGTAAGGTGGAGGGTGTAAGGTGGAGGGCGTGTGATGGAGGGCGTAAGGTCGAGGGATAACGTTTTAGGGCGTATAGTGGAGGGCGTAAGGTGGAGGGCATATTGTGAAGGGCGTATGGTGAAGGGTGTAAGGTCGCAAGATATAGGGCGTATGGTGTAGTGTAGAGCATAAGGCGGAAGGCGTATGGTGGAGGGCGTAAGGTAAAGGGGGGTAAATATGGAGGGCGCAAGATAGAGGGCGTAAGATGTAGGGCGTAAGGTGGAGGGTATTAATTGAAATGGTGTCTACGGCCCATCACGCTATTTTTGTAATAAATATTGATACGGATTATTGCTTTGTGTCGTTGGTTGTTAAAGCTGCTGTCAATGGATCGTCTGTAAATGACGTCACACTCCAGGTGGGGTTCGGGACAGGACTAACGATAACTGGGGATATCGGAGGTTAAGTGTGGCTAGAGTTTCTCCAGGCAGCTCTTCGGGGGGGGGGGGGGGGGGGGGGCTTTGACACTTACTTGAAATGGCAGAAAAGTTGATACAGAACTAAAAATTTGATTTAATACTTGGTAGCCTATATAATAGTGCGGAATAGTAGTAGTAAGACTCGCTACTGATTTCAGAAAATTTTAATTAATTTCAGAAAAAATTAATTAGGCATCCAGTTAAATCAAATTTGTTTTCAGATTGCATTGTACTAACTTTGAAACAAATCTGTCAGTTCGAATAGCTCGAATTTTGGCTCGCCCGTTTAGATCTATGACGACATGAAAACAGAGGAAGCAAATTAAATGCTTGTCATAAATAGCAAGATTAAACAAAAATAAAAATAAAAGATTTGATAAACTTTAAAGTGCACAGGAAATTCTTAAAAACATTATAAAACTACCTTTCTTTTAAATAAAAGCATGCGATGTTAAAATGTGTAAGAGATTTCATGAGTTTATTTTATTAGCATATGGAAATCTCAGTGCATTTAGAAGCTTTTTATTATAACAGTTTTTATACATTTGTTTTATTTTTTAATTGTTTTATTACTGATTAGTAATTAGTTCTTAATGAAGTCGACACTACACACAACTACAAATATTTGCATTAAGCCCCGATCAGATGTTTGGGGTCCCTAAAAGCAAATTACCTGATTTTTCTAAGTCTGTAGTCAAATCTTAGGCTAGAAATCAGCCAGCCGTGACCAGCAGTTGGTCGTAGACTTGCTGGTCAAGCGATCGGTAGCTATTTAATCCAGTTATCTTCCATTTTATTATTGAATTTCAAAATTATTTTTAATGACTAATTTAAAGTCAAATTAGGGTAAAAAAAAATTCTTGCGCTGTCATTGAAGACGAATGTATCTGGGTATTTTGAACACAATCTACGCTTAAGAAGAGGTTAAAGTTGAGTTACGATGCGACATGGGCTTTTCTTTTTAGACATGCAATTTTATAAGGTGTTCGAACAGATGATAAAAGGTTGTATTTATTTACAAAAATATCTGGGGTCCTAATGAACTTTTAAAATCTCCAGCAAGTGTAAAAGTATCATCAATTTTTTCAGTGCCGTTAATATTTTATTTTAAACAATTTATCACTTATGTTGTCTGGGACGTTAATATTTTATTGTAAATAATTTATCACTAATTTTTTCAGTGCCGTTAATATTTTATTTTAAACAATTTATCACTTATGTTGTCTGGGACGTTAATATTTTATTGTAAATAATTTATCACTAATTTTTTCAGTGCCGTTAATATTTTATTTTAAACAATTTATCACTTATGTTGTCGGTGCCTTTAATATTTTAATGTAAACAATTTATCACTTATGTTGTCGGTGCCTTTAATATTTTAATGTAAACAATTTATCACTTATCTTGTCGGTGCCTTTAATATTTTAATGTAAACAATTTATCACTTATGTTGTCGGTGCCTTTAATATTTTAATGTAAACAATTTATCACTTATGTTGTCGGTGCCGTTAATATTTTAATGTAAACAATTTATCACTTATGTTTTCGGTGCCTTTAATATTTTAATGTAAACAATTTATCACTTATGTTTTCGGTGCCGTTAATATTTTAATGTAAACAATTTATCACTTATGTTGTCGGTGCCGTTAATATTTTAATGTAAACAATTTATCACTTATCTTGTCGGTGCCGTTAATATTTTAATGTAAACAATTTATCACTTATGTTGTCGGTGCCTTTAATATTTTAATGTAAACAATTTATCACTAATGTTGTCGGTGCCGTTAATATTTTAATGTAAACAATTTATCACTTATCTTGTCGGTGCCTTTAATATTTTAATGTAAACAATTTATCACTAATGTTGTCTGGGACGTTAATATTTTAATGTAAACAATTTATCACTTATGTTGTCGGTGCCTTTAATATTTTAATGTAAACAATTTATCACTTATCTTGTCGGTGCCTTTAATATTTTAATGTAAACAATTTATCACTAATGTTGTCGGTGCCTTTAATATTTTAATGTAAACAATTTATCACTAATGTTGTCGGTGCCGTTAATATTTTAATGTAAACAATTTATCACTTATGTTGTCGGTGCCTTTAATATTTTAATGTAAACAATTTATCACTAATGTTGTCGGTGCCGTTAATATTTTAATGTAAACAATTTATCACTTATCTTGTCGGTGCCTTTAATATTTTAATGTAAACAATATATCACTAATGTTGTCTGGGACGTTAATATTTTAATGTAAACAATTTATCACTTATGTTGTCGGTGCCTTTAATATTTTAATGTAAACAATTTATCACTAATGTTGTCTGGGACGTTAATATTTTAATGTAAACAATTTATCACTTATCTTGTCGGTGCCTTTAATATTTTAATGTAAACAATTTATCACTTATGTTGTCGGTGCCGTTAATATTTTAACAGCTGCGTGCACGTGTTTGATATTTTATTTAAAAAAAAATGAAATAAGCTTGTGATTCAAACATGTGTTTTTATAATTATAGTAAAAACCAACAATTACGCTGTTAGCTTAAATTTACATTGATTTGTTAGAGAAAATTTGGGGGCCCCTAAAATCGGGAGCCTCTGGTTGCTGCCCTCTCAGCCCCCACCCCTTTATCCGCAACTGTGTTATACTTACCTGTTATAGTAGGTAGATCTATTTTCATTCATGATATATGTACGTATGTTATACCCAACAGTTGTTGTAGATCAATCTATTTTCATTCATGGGAAATATATAACACAATATTTACTTCATTATATTTTATTATTGTCAAACAACAATTTATAACAGCCAGCAGTGATTGAAAAAAATCTCGACAAGATGAATGGACAATGAGAAAGTACATGACAAATAGACAATGTGAGAGTACATGACATATAGACAATGTGAGAGTACATGACACATAGACAATGTGAGAGTACATGACATATAGACAATGTGAGAGTACATGACACATAGACAATGTGAGAGTACATGATATATAGACAATATGAGAGTACATGACACATAGACAATGTGAGAGTACATGACACATAGACAATGTGAGAGTACATGACATATAGACAATGTGAGAGTACATGATATATAGACAATGTGAGAGTACATGACACATAGACAATGTGAGAGTACATGACACATAGACAATGTGAAAGTACATGACACATAGACAATGTGAAAGTACATGATATATAGACAATGTGAGAGTACATGACAAACAGACAATGTGAGAGTACATGACACATAGACAATGTGAGAGTACATGACAAATAGACAATGTGAGAGTACATGACACATAGACAATGTGAGAGTACATGACAAATAGACAATGTGAGAGTACATGACAAATAGACAATGTGAGAGTACATGACACATAGACAATGTGAGAGTACATGACATATAGACAATGTGAGAGTACATGACACATAGACAATGTGAGAGTACATGACACATAGACAATGTGAGAGTACATGACACATAGACAATGTGAGAGTACATGACACATAGACAATGTGAGAGTACATGACAAATAGACAATGTGAGAGTACATGATATATAGACAATGTGAGAGTACATGACACATAGACAATGTGAGAGTACATGACACATAGACAATGTGAGAGTACATGACATATAGACAATGTGAGAGTACATGACACATAGACAATGTGAGAGTACATGACACATAGACAATGTGAGAGTACATGACATATAGACAATGTGAGAGTACATGACATATAGACAATGTGAGAGTACATGGAAACCCCAACCAGGCTACTGGAGCAGGTATTTGGAAGTCAATAACACAATTGTATGTACATAACTAGCATACATACATCACAGACACAACTAGCAAACATACAGCATATACACAACTAGCACACAGACATTACATCCACAGTTAACATGATATACGCAACATTTTCACAACGTAAAAAGAACTAATTTATTGAACTCTATTGGAATGCTGCACTGATGTTAAGGGAGAAAATGTGTTAAAATCAATTTAAAGTTAAGTTTTCTGCATCCTGAGTTATATCCCTTTGCTGAAACGGACGTAGAATTACTGTAAATACTGCAGTTTCTAATGTTAATCTAAAACAAGCTATGACGACTACAGTAGTTACAGAAAACTCCAATTTTGGAAAACGTATCTTATTACAGCGTCAGTAGAATAATGATCAACATGATCTTCGAATAATGATCAACATTATCATCAAATAATGATCAACATCATCATCATAGGGTAATTAACAACAAGAATGGTAACATATTCATCAAGTTAAAAGCAGACTGTGGCCATGTGACCGCAGTGTTGACCTTTGTGTTGACCCCTATGGTGACCTTTCTGTTTTCCTTACCAGACTCTGTGACCCCCATGTTCGTGACAGAAAGATTGAAAGCGCTTGCAGATGTAAACACATTTAGCCTCTCACGGGCTGGCCTTGAGGTCGGGGTTGTAGCTGACGTTTGAACAGAAGATGATGACGTCGAGGCTACCGACATGCCTGCAATGGTGGCAGGAACAAACCCGTGTTAAACACATTCAAACAGTTTCTCTTGATTTCACATCATTTACAAACGGCATTAGAAGGAAGAGAAAAACTAGCAGACAATCAAGTAAAAATACCAATTTCCAAAGTTCCCATTTTAACAGTTGTGATAATCTATCAGAGGCCGATTATTTTCTATTTTAAAATCACGGACTGATTTTGTAGGAGGTTGGAGTATTCCACTGTGATGTGTTTAACTATCCCCACGTGACGTCAGACATAACACTGTGATGTGTTTAACTATCCCCACGTGACGTCAGACATAACACTGTGATGTGTTTAACTATCCCCACGTGACGTCAGACATAACACTGTGATGTGTTTAACTATCCCCACGTGACGTCAGACATAACACTGTGATGTGTTTAACTATCCCCACGTGACGTCAGACATAACACTGTGATGTGTTTAACTATCCCCACGTGACATCAGACATAACACTGTGATGTGTTTAACTATCCCCACGTGACGTCAGACATAACACTGTGATGTGTTTAACTATCCCCACGTGACGTCAGACATAACATTTGTTAGTATTTTATAACAAGCACACCTTTTTTGTTACAGCTGGCAATATTATGTTTGGTAAAAATAAACGAATTTTAAAAAGCGACTTAGAAATCTCACCATAAAATATGAGCTTGTGTGTCCAAGGTCCCGACCCTGCAAGGTTTAGAGCAGACATGGACACATTATATTCCAGGCCTTTTTTAACCCCAGGCAACGTCACCATACCGTGCTTGTGTGTACTGACATCTAGAATTGGAAACTAATCATTTAGAATTTATATAGATTGTCATTTGACATTTATATAGCATTGTCATTTGTATAGCATTGTCATTAGGCATTTATATAGCATTGTTAATTAGCATTTGTACATTATTAATAATATTAAAGATGGTTTTTTTTTAATTTATTTGTGCCATATTTATCCTTTCCATTCTAAAGGTCAAATATTTTTATTTTAAACCAAATCAGTAGCTTACCATTTTAACTTTTGAAGGCAATAAATGATCGAGTGATTATACCACTTAATAATGCTGTATCATCTTTTCATTAAATTAATTTTCAAATGACTAATATCTAATGTGGTAAAAATTTATATATTCATGCGTTGTCATTGTAAAGAAATTTTTTAGCGCAATTTCCATACGGACAATTGCGATTATTAACTCGTCATTTCTGGATGTATGAATGAATGGATGGATGTGTGTCCCCAGTTTTAAGTGGTATCTCCTCCTCAACGAAGCAATATCGAGGACTAGTTTCTAATGAAAACTTATCAGAAATGTGGCACATGAAATAATTAGTGTAAGCTGCTTAGGTTTGTTATGTGAAATAGGAGGACCTTGCATCAGATTATATTCCTTCTTATATTGAATGTCCTTAGATTTAATATGCAACAAGCTAGCAGGAGGGTTATTGTCCTGTTGTAGGACATGGTAGGACAGGGTCACATCATCATCTCCAAAACCTATCACTTCAAACTCCACAGCCAACGGCAGATCTAAAACAGAAAATGCATTCAGTTACAAAGAATTTTCCAATAGATCTATATTAAAGCAGTATTCAAACATTCAAAACGATATTTAAAAATTAAATATTTCTGTAATGTGTTCATTTATTAAGTATCTAGATACATATTCTACATGAAATTGTTGGACTAATGTTTTCCCAATTACCTATATGCCTGCTGTACATGATATTGTTGGACTAATATTTTCTCAAGTACCTACATGCCTGCTGTACATGATATTGTTGGACTAATATTTTCTCAAGTACCTACATGCCTGCTGTACATGATATTGTTGGACTAATATTTTCTCAAGTACCTACATGCCTGCTGTACATGATATTGTTGGACTAATATTTTCTCAAGTACCTACATGCCTGCTGTACATGATATTGCTGGACTAATATTTTCCCCAAACTGTTCTCAGCATAACACAGGTAGTCGCCACTGATCTGAGAGATGTTGATGCCTAAATCTTCTCTGTCATCCAGCGTGACCTGTACAAAGTTGAGACAGCTATTAATAGAAATTTAAGAAAGGTCGCTTGTAACTTGTACTAAAAGCTAAAGCATGTGAGCATTGGACACAATCAAAAGCTAAAGTATGTGAGGACTGGACACAATCGAAAGCTAAAGTATGTGAGGACTGGACACGATCAAAAGCTTAAGTATGTGAGGACTGGACACGATCAAAAGCTAAAGTATGTGAGGACTGGACACGATCAAAAGCTAAAGTATGTGAGGACTGGACACGATCAAAAGCTAAAGTATGTGAGGACTGGACACGATCAAAAGCTTAAGTATGTGAGGACTGGACACGATCAAAAGCTTAAGTATGTGAGGACTGGACACGATCAAAAGCTTAAGTATGTGAGGACTGGACACGATCAAAAGCTAAAGTATGTGAGGACTGGACACGATCAAAAGCTTAAGTATGTGAGGACTGGACACGATCAAAAGCTTAAGTATGTGAGGACTGGACACAATCAAAACTGACCAAACAATGTGATGTCAGAATCGTTTCTTGAAAGCCAGTTTTCTCCTGACACACCATTTTGATACCATCTCTGTGTGAGATGGGTGTGTGCCATGTTAGCTGTGCCCGCTCGTGTGACTGGACGGTGCATCTCAAGGCCGGCAGGTTCCCATCCCACCAGTAGACGACAGCTACAGAATCTTCAGATAATCGTTTCGGTGGAACTGAAGCAGATTAAAAAACTCTTAACATAATTTATAAATACTTTATTCAAACAATAGTATCTTGAATGTAAACCATGTTAGTATAATATGAATTGGCAGCGTTGATTGTCTTATATAGCGTTGATTGTGTTATATAGCGTTGATTGTGTTATATAGCCCTGATCTCACATTAAAAGTGTTACAAAAATTACTGCTGACATTTGATTTGAACTTTGAACTCCCCTCTGGCAGTCGCGAAGTGACTTCTGGCTTGGCAGACGAAAGTGTCGAGATCTGTGTAGACGATGTTGGTGACGTGGAGCTCGCTCTGACAACTGGCCTGGCTGGAGCACGTGACCACCGAGTAGATCCGGCCCTTGTCTTGACTCTGTTAGGACAACGTGACGTGCAATTAGGGGGGTGGGGGTGGGGGGATGAGGGCAGTTGGCATTAATGAGCTTGTGTTTTACACTTATAGCATGCGTTCTTTTATTGTTATTATTAAAGAGCTGCATGGACGGGGAGCTGGGGCCAGAGTTCCAGGCCAGAGTTCCAACCACCATATGGACAGTGAGTGGGGTCCCAACCACCATATGGACAGTGAGTGGGGTCCCAACCACCATATGGACAGTGAGTGGGGTCCTAACCACCCTATGGACAGTGAGTGGGGTCCCAACCACCATATGGACAGTGAGTGAGGTCCCAACCACCATATGGACAGTGAGTGGGGTCCCAACCACCATATGGACAGTGAGTGGGGTCCCAACCACCATATGGACAGTGAGTGAGGTCCCAACCACCATATGGACAGTGAGTGGGGTCCCAACCACCATATGGACAGTGAGTGGGGTCCCAACCACCATATGGACAGTGAGTGGGGTCGGGGTCCCAACCACCATATGGACAGTGAGTGGGGTCCTAACCACCCAATGGACAGTGAGTGGGGTCGGGGTCCCAACCACCATATGGACAGTGAGTGAGGTCCCAACCACCATATGGACAGTGAGTGGGGTCCCAACCACCATATGGACAGTGAGTGGGGTCCCAACCACCATATGGACAGTGAGTGGGGTCGGGGTCCCAACCACCATATGGACAGTGAGTGGGGTCCCAACCACCATATGGACAGTGAGTGGGGTCCCAACCACCATATGGACAGTGAGTGGGGTCCCAACCACCATATGGACAGTGAGTGGGGTCCTAACCACCCTATGGACAGTGAGTGGGGTCGGGGTCCCAACCACCATATGGACAGTGAGTGAGGTCCCAACCACCATATGGACAGTGAGTGGGGTCCCAACCACCATATGGACAGTGAGTGGGGTCCCAACCACCATATGGACAGTGAGTGGGGTCGGGGTCCCAACCACCATATGGACAGTGAGTGGGGTCCCAACCACCATATGGACAGTGAGTGGGGTCCCAACCACCATATGGACAGTGAGTGGGGTCCCAACCACCATATGGACAGTGAGTGGGGTCCCAACCTCCATATGGACAGTGAGTGGGGTCCTAACCACCATATAGACAGTGAGTGGGGTCGGGGTCCCAACCACCATATGGTCGGTGAGTGAGGTCCCAACCACCATATGGACAGTGAGTGGGGTCCCAACCACCATATGGTCGGTGAGTGAGGTCCCAACCACCATATGGACAGTGAGTGGGGTCCCAACCACCATATGGACAGTGAGTTGGGTCCCAACCACCATATGGACAATGAGTGGAGTCCCAACCACCATATGGACAGTGAGTTGGCTCCCAACCACCATATGGACAGTGAGTGGGGTCCTAACCACCATATAGACAGTGAGTGGGGTCGGGGTCCCAACCACCATATGGACAGTGAGTGGGGTCCCAACCACCATATGGTCGGTGAGTGAGGTCCCAACCACCATATGGACAGTGAGTGGGGTCCCAACCACCATATGGACAGTGAGTGGGGTCCCAACCACCATATGGACAGTGAGTGAGGTCCCAACCACCATATGGACAGTGAGTGGGGTCCCAACCACCATATGGACAGTGAGTGGGGTCCCAACCACCATATGGACAGTGAGTGGGGTCCCAACCACCATATGGACAGTGAGTGGGGTCCTAACCACCCTATGGACAGTGAGTGGGGTCCCAAACACCATATGGACAGTGAGTGAGGTCCCAACCACCATATGGACAGTGAGTGGGGTCCCAACCACCATATGGACAGTGAGTGGGGTCCCAACCACCATATGGACAGTGAGTGAGGTCCCAACCACCATATGGACAGTGAGTGGGGTCCCAACCACCATATGGACAGTGAGTGGGGTCCCAACCACCATATGGACAGTGAGTGGGGTCGGGGTCCCAACCACCATATGGACAGTGAGTGGGGTCCTAACCACCCAATGGACAGTGAGTGGGGTCGGGGTCCCAACCACCATATGGACAGTGAGTGAGGTCCCAACCACCATATGGACAGTGAGTGGGGTCCCAACCACCATATGGACAGTGAGTGGGGTCCCAACCACCATATGGACAGTGAGTGGGGTCGGGGTCCCAACCACCATATGGACAGTGAGTGGGGTCCCAACCACCATATGGACAGTGAGTGGGGTCCCAACCACCATATGGACAGTGAGTGGGGTCCCAACCACCATATGGACAGTGAGTGGTGTCCTAACCACCCTATGGACAGTGAGTGGGGTCGGGGTCCCAACCACCATATGGACAGTGAGTGAGGTCCCAACCACCATATGGACAGTGAGTGGGGTCCCAACCACCATATGGACAGTGAGTGGGGTCCCAACCACCATATGGACAGTGAGTGGGGTCGGGGTCCCAACCACCATATGGACAGTGAGTGGGGTCCCAACCACCATATGGACAGTGAGTGGGGTCCCAACCACCATATGGACAGTGAGTGGGGTCGGGGTCCCAACCACCATATGGACAGTGAGTGGGGTCCCAACCACCATATGGACAGTGAGTGGGGTCCCAACCACCATATGGACAGTGAGTGGGGTCCCAACCACCATATGGACAGTGAGTGGGGTCCCAACCACCATATGGACAGTGAGTGGGGTCCCAACCTCCATATGGACAGTGAGTGGGGTCCTAACCACCATATAGACAGTGAGTGGGGTCGGGGTCCCAACCACCATATGGTCGGTGAGTGAGGTCCCAACCACCATATGGACAGTGAGTGGGGTCCCAACCACCATATGGTCGGTGAGTGAGGTCCCAACCACCATATGGACAGTGAGTGGGGTCCAAACCACCATATGGACAGTGAGTTGATTCCCAACCACCATATGGACAATGAGTGGGGTCCCAACCACCATATGGACAGTGAGTTGGCTCCCAACCACCATATGGACAGTGAGTGGGGTCCTAACCACCATATAGACAGTGAGTGGGGTCGGGGTCCCAACCACCATATGGTCGGTGAGTGAGGTCCCAACCACCATATGGACAGTGAGTGGGGTCCCAACCACCATATGGTCGGTGAGTGAGGTCCCAACCACCATATGGACAGTGAGTGGGGTCCCAACCACCATATGGACAGTGAGTTGGGTCCCAACCACCATATGGACAATGAGTGGGGTCCCAACCACCATATGGACAGTGAGTTGGCTCCCAACCACCATATGGACAGTGAGTGGGGTCCTAACCACCATATAGACAGTGAGTGGGGTCGGGGTCCCAACCACCATATGGACAGTGAGTGGGGTCCCAACCACCATATGGTCGGTGAGTGAGGTCCCAACCACCATATGGACAGTGAGTGGGGTCCCAACCACCATATGGACAGTGAGTGAGGTCCCAACCACCATATGGACAGTGAGTGGGGTCCCAACCACCATATGGACAGTGAGTGGGGTCCCAACCACCATATGGACAGTGAGTGAGGTCCCAACCACTATATGGACAGTGAGTGGGGTCCCAACCACCATATGGACAGTGAGTGGGGTCCCAACCACCATATGGACAGTGAGTGGGGTCCCAACCACCATATGGACAGTGAGTGGGGTCGGGGTCCCAACCACCATATGGACAGTGAGTGGGGTCCTAACCACCCAATGGACAGTGAGTGGGGTCGGGGTCCCAACCACCATATGGACAGTGAGTGAGGTCCCAACCACCATATGGACAGTGAGTGGGGTCCCAACCACCATATGGACAGTGAGTGGGGTCCCAACCACCATATGGACAGTGAGTGGGGTCGGGGTCCCAACCACCATATGGACAGTGAGTGGGGTCCCAACCACCATATGGACAGTGAGTGGGGTCCCAACCACCATATGGACAGTGAGTGGGGTCCCAACCACCATATGGACAGTGAGTGGGGTCCTAACCACCCTATGGACAGTGAGTGGGGTCGGGGTCCCAACCACCATATGGACAGTGAGTGAGGTCCCAACCACCATATGGACTGTGAGTGGGGTCCCAACCACCATATGGACAGTGAGTGGGGTCCCAACCACCATATGGACAGTGAGTGGGGTCGGGGTCCCAACCACCATATGGACAGTGAGTGGGGTCCCAACCACCATATGGACAGTGAGTGGGGTCCCAACCACCATATGGACAGTGAGTGGGGTCGGGGTCCCAACCACCATATGGACAGTGAGTGGGGTCCCAACCACCATATGGACAGTGAGTGGGGTCCCAACCACCATATGGACAGTGAGTGGGGTCCCAACCACCATATGGACAGTGAGTGGGGTCCCAACCACCATATGGACAGTGAGTGGGGTCCCAACCTCCATATGGACAGTGAGTGGGGTCCTAACCACCATATAGACAGTGAGTGGGGTCGGGGTCCCAACCACCATATGGTCGGTGAGTGAGGTTCCAACCACCATATGGACAGTGAGTGGGGTCCCAACCACCATATGGTCGGTGAGTGAGGTCCCAACCACCATATGGACAGTGAGTGGGGTCCAAACCACCATATGGACAGTGAGTTGATTCCCAACCACCATATGGACAATGAGTGGGGTCCCAACCACCATATGGACAGTGAGTTGGCTCCCAACCACCATATGGACAGTGAGTGGGGTCCTAACCACCATATAGACAGTGAGTGGGGTCGGGGTCCCAACCACCATATGGTCGGTGAGTGAGGTCCCAACCACCATATGGACAGTGAGTGGGGTCCCAACCACCATATGGTCGGTGAGTGAGGTCCCAACCACCATATGGACAGTGAGTGGGGTCCCAACCACCATATGGACAGTGAGTTGGGTCCCAACCACCATATGGACAATGAGTGGGGTCCCAACCACCATATGGACAGTGAGTTGGCTCCCAACCACCATATGGACAGTGAGTGGGGTCCTAACCACCATATAGACAGTGAGTGGGGTCGGGGTCCCAACCACCATATGGACAGTGAGTGGGGTCCCAACCACCATATGGTCGGTGAGTGAGGTCCCAACCACCATATGGACAGTGAGTGGGGTCCCAACCACCATATGGACAGTGAGTGAGGTCCCAACCACCATATGGACAGTGAGTGGGGTCCCAACCACCATATGGACAGTGAGTGGGGTCCCAACCACCATATGGACAGTGAGTGGGGTCCCAACCACCATATGGACAGTGAGTGGGGTCCTAACCACCCTATGGACAGTGAGTGGGGTCCCAAACACCATATGGACAGTGAGTGAGGTCCCAACCACCATATGGACAGTGAGTGGGGTCCCAACCACCATATGGACAGTGAGTGGGGTCCCAACCACCATATGGACAGTGAGTGAGGTCCCAACCACCATATGGACAGTGAGTGGGGTCCCAACCACCATATGGACAGTGAGTGGGGTCCCAACCACCATATGGACAGTGAGTGGGGTCGGGGTCCCAACCACCATATGGACAGTGAGTGGGGTCCTAACCACCCAATGGACAGTGAGTGGGGTCGGGGTCCCAACCACCATATGGACAGTGAGTGAGGTCCCAACCACCATATGGACAGTGAGTGGGGTCCCAACCACCATATGGACAGTGAGTGGGGTCCCAACCACCATATGGACAGTGAGTGGGGTCGGGGTCCCAACCACCATATGGACAGTGAGTGGGGTCCCAACCACCATATGGACAGTGAGTGGGGTCCCAACCACCATATGGACAGTGAGTGGGGTCCCAACCACCATATGGACAGTGAGTGGGGTCCTAACCACCCTATGGACAGTGAGTGGGGTCGGGGTCCCAACCACCATATGGACAGTGAGTGAGGTCCCAACCACCATATGGACAGTGAGTGGGGTCCCAACCACCATATGGACAGTGAGTGGGGTCCCAACCACCATATGGACAGTGAGTGGGGTCGGGGTCCCAACCACCATATGGACAGTGAGTGGGGTCCCAACCACCATATGGACAGTGAGTGGGGTCCCAACCACCATATGGACAGTGAGTGGGGTCGGGGTCCCAACCACCATATGGACAGTGAGTGGGGTCCCAACCACCATATGGACAGTGAGTGGGGTCCCAACCACCATATGGACAGTGAGTGGGGTCCCAACCACCATATGGACAGTGAGTGGGGTCCCAACCACCATATGGACAGTGAGTGGGGTCCCAACCTCCATATGGACAGTGAGTGGGGTCCTAACCACCATATAGACAGTGAGTGGGGTCGGGGTCCCAACCACCATATGGTCGGTGAGTGAGGTCCCAACCACCATATGGACAGTGAGTGGGGTCCCAACCACCATATGGTCGGTGAGTGAGGTCCCAACCACCATATGGACAGTGAGTGGGGTCCCAACCACCATATGGACAGTGAGTTGATTCCCAACCACCATATGGACAATGAGTGGGGTCCCAACCACCATATGGACAGTGAGTTGGCTCCCAACCACCATATGGACAGTGAGTGGGGTCCTAACCACCATATAGACAGTGAGTGGGGTCGGGGTCCCAACCACCATATGGACAGTGAGTGGGGTCCCAACCACCATATGGTCGGTGAGTGAGGTCCCAACCACCATATGGACAGTGAGTGGGGTCCCAACCACCATATGGACAGTGAGTGGGGTCCCAACCACCATATGGACAGTGAGTGAGGTCCCAACCACCATATGGACAGTGAGTGGGGTCCCAACCACCATATGGACAGTGAGTTGGGTCCCAACCACCATATGGACAGCGAGTGGGGTCGGGGTCCCAACCACCATCTGGTCTGGTAGACCTCACAACAAAAATTGACGCCCAACTTTTATATAATTGTCTTACAATCAAGTCGACAATTTTGACTTGTCCTAGTTTGCTTGAGAACCACTCAACAGTTAGAGGTGGGTGTCCGCTGGCGTTACACACTACAGTGGCGTTGTCCCCCTCTAGATAGGTCCGCTGTGGTGTCAGGATCATCACTGTGGGTTTTTCTGTGGACATTTCAAAGTCATTTCTTTTGTTAACACCACTTTTCTTTGGACAATTGGATATCGTTTATTTTATAAACACGATTTTCACTGTTTTGACCGGATGTTTTCGAGCTTTGTTACCGAGACCTGTCGATTGAGACGTTTAAAGCACAATTCGTATCGGATGGAAATATGACATGCAGCCCATACAGACTACAGGCCGTCATTAACAGAACAAGCAAGTAAGTTTGACTGACCGAGTAGCAAAAGAAATAAAACTAATAAAATTATGCGTTTTTTTTCCTAATTACAAAGGTTTTCGTATAAAAGTTTATCCAGGTTCATATTTTTATAATCACAATAACTACGATCCAATATTGTCATCTGTAGGAGTAAATAATAACTTCTTGCAATCTTCCTCTTGCCATCGTGCAAAAGTCTAATGACTTGTTTCCGTCGTATTCTTAAAGATCTAAATAGTCTAGAATTTGATAATCCAGGACCGACAACTTGCCAGACTAGAATCAGTAGTCTTAAAGAACTACATTGGTGTGATGCATGTTCTCATTATAAGTTGGTGCTAGTGGATAGTGGTGCGCTCCAGTAACAATACCTTAAGTTACAATTAGTTTCAAATAATTGAAATGTGCTCTCGTCTGATAGTCTGAAAAAACATGCGCTCAGAATGTGTTTGTTTCTTTAAGTGCCTGTTCAGTTATCACATTAGTTGATGGTGGTGGGTGTGTCACAATAGTTGATGGTGGTGGGCGTGTCACAAAATTTTATGGTGGAAAGTCGTGTTACAATAGTTGATGGTGGTAGGTGTGTCACAATAGTTGATAGTGGTGGGCGTGTCACAAAATTTTATGGTGGAAAGTCGTGTTACAATAGTTGATGGTGGTGGGCGTGTCACAATAGTTGATAGTGGTGGGCGTGTCACAAAATTTTATGGTGGAAAGTCGTGTTACAATAGTTGATGGTGGTGGGCGTGTCACAATAGTTGATAGTGGTGGGCGTGTCACAAAATTTTATGGTGGAAAGTCGTGTTACAATAGTTGATGGTGGTGGGCATGTCACAATAGTTGATAGTGGTGGACGTGTCACAATAGTTGATGGTGGTGGGCGTGTCACAATAGTTGATAGTGGTGGGCGTGTCACAAAATTTTATGGTGGAAAGTCGTGTTACAATAGTTGATGGTGGTGGGCATGTCACAATAGTTGATAGTGGTGGGCGTGTCACAATAGTTGATGGTGGTGGGGGTGTCACAATAGCTGATGGTGGTGGACGTGTCACATTAGTTGATGGTGGTGGGTGTGTCACAATAGTTGATAGTGGTGGGCGTGTCACAAAATTTTATGGTGGAAAGTCGTGTTACAATAGTTGATGGTGGTAGGTGTGTCACAATAGTTGATAGTGGTGGGCGTGTCACAAAATTTTATGGTGGAAAGTCGTGTTACAATAGTTGATGGTGGTGGGCGTGTCACAATAGTTGATAGTGGTGGGCGTGTCACAAAATTTTATGGTGGAAAGTCGTGTTACAATAGTTGATGGTGGTGGGCATGTCACAATAGTTGATAGTGGTGGACGTGTCACAATAGTTGATGGTGGTGGGCGTGTCACAATAGTTGATAGTGGTGGGCGTGTCACAAAATTTTATGGTGGAAAGTCGTGTTACAATAGTTGATGGTGGTGGGCATGTCACAATAGTTGATAGTGGTGGGCGTGTCACAAAATTTTATGGTGGAAAGTCGTGTTACAATAGTTGATGGTGGTGGGCGTGTCACAATAGTTGATAGTGGTGGGCGTGTCACAAAATTTTATGGTGGAAAGTCGTGTTACAATAGTTGATGGTGGTGGGCGTGTCACAATAGTTGATAGTGGTGGGCGTGTCACAAAATTTTATGGTGGAAAGTCGTGTTACAATAGTTGATGGTGGTGGGCATGTCACAATAGTTGATAGTGGTGGACGTGTCACAATAGTTGATGGTGGTGGGCGTGTCACAATAGTTGATAGTGGTGGGCGTGTCACAAAATTTTATGGTGGAAAGTCGTGTTACAATAGTTGATGGTGGTGGGCATGTCACAATAGTTGATAGTGGTGGGCGTGTCACAATAGTTGATAGTGGTGGGCGTGTCACAATAGTTGATGGTGGTGGACGTGTCACAATAGTTGATGGTGGTGGGCGTGTCACAATAGTTGATGGTGGTGGACGTGTCACAATAGTTGATGGTGGTGGGGGTGTCACAATAGTTGATGGTGGTGGACGTGTCACAATAGTTGATGGTGGTGGGGGTGTCACAATAGTTGATGGTGGTGGGGGTGTCACAATAGCTGATGGTGGTGGGCGTGTCACAATAGTTGATGGTGGTGGGCGTGTCACAATAGTTGATGGTGGTGGGCGTGTCACAAAATTTTATGGTGGAAAGTCGTGTTACAATAGTTGATGGTGGTGGGCGTGTAACAATAGGTGATGGTGGTAGGCGTGTCACAATCGTTGAGGGTGGTGGGCGTGTCACATTAGTTGATGGTGGTGAGGGTGTCACAATAGTTGATGGTGGTGGGGGTGTCACAATAGCTGATGGTGGTGGGCGTGTCACAATCGTTGAGGGTGGTGGGCGTATCACATTAGTTGATGGTGGTGAGGGTGTCACAATAGTTGATGGTGGTGGGGGTGTCACAATAGCTGATGGTGGTAGGCGTGTCACAATAGTTGATGGTGGTGGGCGTGTATCAATAGTTGATGAAGGTGGGCGTGTCACAATAGCTGATGGTGGTCGGCGTGTCACAATAGTTGATGGTGGTGGGCGTGTATCAATAGTTGATGAAGGTGGGCGTGTCACAATAAAAAATATGGTGGGCGTGTCACAATAAATAATGGTGGAAAGTCGTGTCACAATAGTTGATAATGGAAAGTCGTGTCACATTGTTTGATGGTGGTGGGTGTGTCACAATGGCTTGTGATGGAGAGACGTGGATTGAAACATAAGGTCATGTTGCTTGACTGATAAAGTTGACTTACGCCCAACTTCTATGAGTGACCAGCGGGAATCACTGCCAAATGCGTTAGTGGCGGCGCACGTGTAGTTGCCGTCGTCCGTCGAACTGGCTCGATAGATCCACCACTGTCGAGAGAGTTTGGCCTTTTGTGACGGCTTTACAGCATCCTTCTGTGACGTCAATACCTGAGCGAAATAAGTTATTAGTGTACGACTTGTGCTGTAGGGACGTGTAATAGTGGCACGGCGCCTGCTGAATGGTGTGAGACATTTTTACTTGGGCCTTATTGAAAGGCTTTTCTACCTCAGCTTATTTGCCTAAAACATCTTTCCCACACGTAATAATCAGAGTCACTTGAAAATTCCGTAAGGAGGCGAGCTTTTTCTGGCAGATTGTGGGGGCAATATATATAAATATGCATATATATATATATATATATATATATATATATATATATATATATATATATATATATATATATATATATATATATATATATATATATATATATATATATATATATATATATATATATATATATATATATATATATATATATATATATATATATATATATACAAATATATACATACATACATACACACACACACACACACATATATATATATATATATATATATATATATATATATATATATATATATATATATATATATATATATATATATATATATATATATATTTAGCTATAAGCTGTCTACCTTCTTACCTTTCCATTTTTGAACCACGTAACTGTAGGCTCTGGGTAGCCACTGATGTTGCAGTACAGCATAGTATGGTCATTTTTGACAATCACCATTTTCTTAGAGGTTTCATTACGACCCAGAATGAAAATTCCGTCAACTTTTGGCGCTATAACCATTGAAAATAAAAACTACACATTTAACAAATAATGGTGTATTTTAAAGGTCTTTTATCAGTATAACCGTTAATTACATTACGTTTACTATTTGAATGTTGTTTGTGTGTGTGTGTGTTTCAAATGGAAATAAGTAATTTTTTTTTGCAAATTTTAGTAGCTTTTAAATTTTAAAAACAATTATATAAATTTTTTTTTAAAAGATCATTTTAACCTATTGCATCTCAAAACATATACATCGAATCATTTTACAATCGCATTTCCAAGTGCAAGATTTACATTTAAAAAGTCAATATGTCAAGATTACAACTACAAAGTCAATATGTCAAAATTACAACTACAAAGTCAATATGTCAAGATTACAACTACAAAGTCAATATGTCAAAATTATAACTACAAAGTCAATATGTCAAGATTACAACTACAAAGTCAATATGTCAAAATTACAACTACAAAGTCAATATGTCAAGATTACAACTACAAAGTCAATATGTCAAGGTTATAACTACAAAGTCAATATGTCAAGATTACAACTACAAAGTCAATATGTCAAAATTACAACTACAAAGTCAATATGTCAAGATTACAACTACAAAGTCAATATGTCAAGATTATAACTACAAAGTCAATATGTCAAGATTACAACTATATAATCCACAACAAAGGAAACTTTTAAAAAGCTTGTTACCTGAAGTCAACTCCGGCATTGTTAAACAGGATCCAAAGAAGGTAACAAACAAGGAAATAGTTGAGAACATCGCTTCATCTGGCGTCAACACATTCAGTGTTATTGTCTTTGTTCAAATCGATGAATATTTGAATTTTAAATCTGAAGAAAAGGATGATAAGTTAAGATGATAATAAGTTCAATGCCACATTACATGTTGGTGTCATCTAATGCCACACTACATGTTGGTGTCATCCAGTGCTACACTACATGTTGGTGTCATCTAGTGCCACACTACATGTTGGTGTCATCCAGTGCCACAGTATATGTTGGTGTCATCCAGTGCCACACTACATGTTGGTGTCATCCAGTGCCACACTACATGTTGGTGTCATCCAGTGCCACACTACATGTTGGTGTTATCCAGTGCCACATGTTGGTGTCATCCAGTGCCACATGTTGGTGTCATCTAGTGCCACACTACATGTTGGTGTCATCCAGTGCCACACTACATGTTGGTGTCATCCAGTGCCACACTACATGTTGGTGTCATCCAGTGCCACATGTTGGTGTCATCCAGTGCCACAGTATATGTTGGTGTCATCCAGTGCCACACTACATGTTGGTGTCATCTACTGCCACATGTTGGTGTCATCCAGTGCCACACTACATGTTGGTGTCATCTAATGCCACACTACATGTTGGTGTCATCCAGTGCTACACTACATGTTGGTGTCATCTAGTGCCACACTACATGTTGGTGTCATCCAGTGCCACAGTATATGTTGGTGTCATCCAGTGCCACACTACATGTTGGTGTCATCCAGTGCCACACTACATATTAGTGTCATCTAGTGCCACATTACATGTTGGTGTCATCCAGTGCCACATGTTGGTGTCATCCAGTGCCACACTACATGTTGGTGTCATCCAGTGCCACAGTATATGTTGGTGTCATCCAGTGCCACACTACATGTTGGTGTCATCTACTGCCACATGTTGGGGTCATCCAGTGCCACACTACATGTTGGTGTCATCCAGTGCCACACTACATGTTGGTGTCATCCAGTGCTACACTACATGTTGGTGTCATCCAGTGCCAGAGTACATGTTGGTGTCAACCAGTGTCACACTACATGTTGGTGTCATCCAGTGTAACATGTTGGTGTCATCCAGTGTCACATGTTGGTGTCATCTAGTGCCACATGTTGGTGTCACCTAGTGCCACATGTTGATGTCACCTAGTGCCACCTGTTGGTGTCATCTAATGCCACATGTTGGTGTCATCTAATGCCAAGTGTTGGTGTCATCCAGTGCCACAGTATATGTTGGTGTCATCCAGTGCCACACTACATGTTGGTGTCATCCAGTGCCACATGTTGGTGTCATCCAGTGCCACACTACATGTTGGTGTCATCCAGTGCCACACTACATGGTGGTGTCATCCAGTGTAACATGTTGGTGTCATCCAGTGTCACATGTTGGTGTCATCTAGTGCCACATGTTGGTGTCACCTAGTGCCACATGTTGATGTCACCTAGTGCCACATGTTGGTGTCATCTAATGCCACATGTTGGTGTCATCTAATGCCAAGTGTTGGTGTCATCCAGTGCCACACTACATGTTGGTTTATCCAGTGCCACACTACATGTTGGTGTCATCTAGTGCCACATGTTGGTGTCATCTAATGCCACATTACATGTTGGTGTCATCCAGTGCCACACTACATGTTGGTTTATACATTGCCACACTACATGTTGGTGTCATCCAGTGCCACACTACATGTTGGTTTCATCTAGTGCCACACTACATGTTGGTGTCACCCAGTGCCACACTACATGTTGGTGTCATCCAGTGCCACACTACATATTGGTGTCATCTACTGCCACACTACATGTTGGTGTCATCCAGTGCCACATGTTGGTGTCATCCAGTGCCACATGTTGGTGTCATCCAGTGCCACACTACATGTTGGTGTCATCCAGTGCCACACTACATGTTGGTGTCATCCAGTGCCACACTACATGTTGGTGTCCTCCAGTGCCACATGTTGGTGTCATCCAGTGCCACATGTTGGTGTCATCCAGTGCCACACTACATGTTGGTGTCATCCAGTGCCACACTACATGGTGGTGTCATCCAGTGCCACACTACATGTTGGTGTCATCCAGTGCCACACTACATGTTGGTGTCATCCAGTGCCACATGTTGGTGTCATCCAGTGCCACACTTCATGTTGGTTTATCCAGTGCCACACTACATGTTGGTGTCATCTAGTGCCACACTACATGTTGGTGTCATCCAGTGTCCACACTACACGTTGGTGTCATCTAGTGCCACACTACATGTTGGTGTCATCTAGTGCCACACTACATGTTGGTGTCATACAGTGCCACACTACATGTTGGTGTCATCCAGTGCCACACTACATGTTGGTGTCATCTAGTGCCACACTACATGTTGGTGTCATCTAGTGCCACACTACATGTTGGTGTAATCCAGTGCCACACTACATGTTGGTGTCATCCAGTGCCACACTACATGTTGGTGTTATCCAGTGCCACACTATACGTTGGTGTCATCTAGTGACAAATTATGTCATCTAATGTCACAACAAATGTAATCTTGTGCCACAACAAATAATGTAATCTTGTGCCACAACAAATAATGTAATCTTGTGCCACAACAAATAATGTAATCTTGTGCCACAACAAATGTAATCTTGTGCCACAACAAATAATGTAATCTTGTGCCAAAACAAATAATGTAATCTTGTGCCACAACAAATGTAATCTTGTGCCAAAACAAATAATGTAATCTTGTGCCAAAACAAAATAATGTAATCTTGTGCCAAAACAAATAATGTAATCTTGTGCCACAACAAATAATGTAATCTTGTGCCACAACAAATAATGTAATCTTGTGCCACAACAAATAATGTAATCTTGTGCCAAAACAAATAATGTAATCTTGTGCCACAACAAATAATGTAATCTTGTGCCAAAACAAAATAATGTAATCTTGTGCCACAACAAATAATGTAATCTTGTGCCAAAACAAATAATGTAATCTTGTGCCAAAACAAATAATGTAATCTTGTGCCACAACAAATGTAATCTTGTGCCAAAACAAATAATGTAATCTTGTGCCAAATCAAAATAATGTAATCTTGTGCCACAACAAATAATGTAATCTTGTGTCACAACAAATGTAATCTTGTGCCACAACAAAATAATGTAATCTTGTGCCAAAACAAATAATGTAATCTTGTGCCAAATCAAAATAATGTAATCTTGTGCCACAACAAATAATGTAATCTTGTGCCAAAACAAATAATGTAATCTTGTGCCACAACAAATAATGTAATCTTGTGCCAAAACAAAATAATGTAATCTTGTGCCAAAACAAATAATGTAATCTTGTGCCACAACAAATAATGTAATCTTGTGCCACAACAAATGTAATCTTGTGCCACAACAAATAATGTAATCTTGTGCCACAACAAATAATGTAATCTTGTGCCACAACAAATGTAATCTTGTGCCACAACAAATAATGTAATCTTGTGCCAAAACAAAATAATGTAATCTTGTGCCACAACAAATAATGTAATCTTGTGCCACAACAAATAATGTAATCTTGTGCCACAACAAATAATGTAATCTTGTGCCAAAACAAATAATGTAATCTTGTGCCACAACAAATGTAATCTTGTGCCACAACAAATAATGTAATCTTGTGCCAAATCAAAATAATGTAATCTTGTGCCACAACAAATAATGTAATCTTGTGCCACAACAAATAATGTAATCTTGTGCCAAAACAAATAATGTAATCTTGTGCCACAACAAATAATGTAATCTTGTGCCAAAACAAATAATGTAATCTTGTGCCACAACAAATAATGTAATCTTGTGCCACAACAAATAATGTAATCTTGTGCCAAATCAAAATAATGTAATCTTGTGCCACAACAAATAATGTAATCTTGTGCCACAACAAATAATGTAATCTTGTGCCACAACAAATAATGTAATCTTGTGCCACAACAAATAATGTAATCTTGTGCCAAAACAAATAATGTAATCTTGTGCCAAAACAAATAATGTAATCTTGTGCCAAAACAAATAATGTAATCTTGTGCCACAACAAATGTAATCTTGTGCCACAACAAATAATGTAATCTTGTGCCAAATCAAAATAATGTAATCTTTCGCCACAACAAATAATGTAATCTTGTGCCACAACAAATAATGTAATCTTGTGCCAAAACAAATAATGTAATCTTGTGCCACAACAAATAATGTAATATTGTGCCACAACAAATAATGTAATCTTGTGCCAAAACAAATAATGTAATCTTGTGCCAAAACAAATAATGTAATCTTGTGCCACAACAAATAATGTAATCTTGTGCCACAACAAATAATGTAATCTTGTGCCACAACAAATAATGTAATCTTGTGCCAAAACAAATAATGTAATCTTGTGCCACAACAAATAATGTAATCTTGTGCCAAAACAAAATAATGTAATCTTGTGCCACAACAAATAATGTAATCTTGTGCCAAAACAAATAATGTAATCTTGTGCCAAAACAAATAATGTAATCTTGTGCCACAACAAATGTAATCTTGTGCCAAAACAAATAATGTAATCTTGTGCCAAATCAAAATAATGTAATCTTGTGCCACAACAAATAATGTAATCTTGTGTCACAACAAATGTAATCTTGTGCCACAACAAAATAATGTAATCTTGTGCCAAATCAAAATAATGTAATCTTGTGCCACAACAAATAATGTAATCTTGTGCCAAAACAAATAATGTAATCTTGTGCCAAAACAAATAATGTAATCTTGTGCCACAACAAATGTAATCTTGTGCCACAACAAATAATGTAATCTTGTGCCAAATCAAAATAATGTAATCTTTCGCCACAACAAATAATGTAATCTTGTGCCACAACAAATAATGTAATCTTGTGCCACAACAAATAATGTAATCTTGTGCCACAACAAATAATGTAATCTTGTGCCAAAACAAATAATGTAATCTTGTGCCACAACAAATAATGTAATCTTGTGCCACAACAAATAATGTAATCTTGTGCCACAACAAATGTAATCTTGTGCCACAACAAATAATGTAATCTTGTGCCA